AAAAGTGCTATCAATTAAAAGACAATACTCCTATAGGGTCTAAGGACCATAGTTTGGATCAGGCCTTACAGGATACAAAGCAGGAAACATGACATACACAAGTAATAATAATAATAATAATAATGTACCTTACAGAACAATGGAAGAAGTTGGAAGGCCCCCATTATTCTGGGGGGGGGATTTTCAAGCAGACAGAGTGATACACCCTCTCCGTCTGGATATTATTCTGCGAGATAGACACATCAAAAACTGCCATTTTATTGATGTCGCCATACCAAATGATACAAATATATCAAACGATGTTAATTTGAAAGTTAGAATGTGAAGACCGTTTGGAATCCAGGAAGGGAATGTCAAGGTGATTCCAGTGGTGATTAGAGAATTCGGATCAATTCCATTAAAACTGTTTGAGTTTCTTGACTAGCTGTGGATAACAGACCAACTTGGAGTTATCTGAAGACTTTTCACCCGAAAAGTATGAGTGCGAATAAACTCATTGCTGGCGCCCGCAGATGAAAATGTATCAGAAAATGCCAAACACGATATAACTTATAGTTTGTTTAACGGTATATAAACACCTTATGGGTCATTTAACGCTGAAATTTAATTTTCTGGGGACTTTGAGTAATTTCTTTTTACAAAAATCAGTTGCTGGTAATTTATTTTTTAAATATATACTTTCATTTTTTTTATTATCTCAGTTTGGGGGTTCGCTATTTGCCCATGGCTGGGATCCTAACAGGTGCTGCTACCCTGGATCAGGGTCGAATTTTGAACAACAGCAAGAAGAAGTGGTTCCATGCGTCACAAAACCTCCCGATTAAACCAAGGACGTATATAGCTCGAAGTCTTAATAAAAACAGACAACTCCCCCCCCCACAAAAAAACAACAAAAAAACAAAAAAACAAGCAAACACAAAACGATGTGTCAAAAGGATGTTTTTTTTTTTATTCTCGTCACATCATTATTACGTTACACCCACTCAGTCATTAATGTTTATTGTAATTTTCATTTTTTTTAAAAAAGGTATTTTTTGAATTTTGATTAAACCGTAAAATATAAAACTAAATTTAAAGATGTTTTTTCTCACCTTAATTAACCGTAAACTCCCCAGATACATTTCTTGTTTTAATTTCCCGAGGCAGATTCATTTCTCTATTATCATACGTTGGCAATGATGGCTCTTTACAATTTCCTATTTTTTGTCGCTCTTAGTAAATTTTATCTTTTTGCTATCTCTTTATACACTACTAGCAGCATGGCCCGGCGTTGCCCGTGCTTGATTCAAAAATCGTACGACTCATACAGCAATCACTATCACTTGACTTAGTTTTTGCCCTTCCTTGCCTTTAAAGGAGTGCCCTTTGCTGTGCTGATGCTGCTACATGCCTTACTTCTTGCCTATCTCACACTGCGAATTTTTTCTAAGCTCTATACTAAACATTAAATCTGTTACGAAAAAAGAACTAAACAAAATGAACACAAAACGATCAGCTTTAAAAAAGGACTCGTAACTGGAAAAACCGAATGAAAAAAGAATGTTAACAACAAATACTTTTTCACACCCAACCCAGTTCTGTGGAATCAGAATCAACGTTGAGTTTAAGCAAGCAAATAAGCCAATTGGAGTAAAGTGCCATGCAGATTTAAATTTTTCCCACTTATGACGAATGCAGTTATCGATTTTTTTTTTGGATGCTAGCATGCTAGTTAACATTCTTGTCAGTCAGCTGTTGGCTCTCACGCTGGCCAATAGAATCTTCCTGTCTATTCGTGGCAGCCAGCTATTGGCTCTCACTCTGGCCAGTACAAAATGACCGCAAACTACATGGAAACTGCCGTAGAAGCATGACAAAATCGATTATTTCCAAAATCCAAAGAGAGTTGGGAAATGCAAAGTCGGTCTTGGCCTTCCCATTAACTTGGAGCATGTGCATGTAAATTTTGGTGCAAATCCGTCGAAAATTGCGGCCGTGCATTCGTTACACACACACACACATTCTGCCCTTTATAGATAGAAATTCTAACATCTATTTACAGAAACTACGTCTTCTTCTTCTTCTTCTTCTTCTTCTTCTTCTTCTTCTTCTTCTTCTTCTTCTATGTACCTTGTCTCTTCAAGATATTGTCGATTATGGCTCTCCACAATTTCCACAAGCTCTTAGTAATTTTGTTTTTTTTGCTATCTCTTCTAAACCCTGTTCTGATATCCATTTACAATAACTCGTTCTTCTTCTCCTTCTATGTACCGCGTCCCTTCAGGATATTGGCGATCATGGCTCTCCACAATTTCCTATCTTTTGTAGCTCTTAATAAATTTTGTCTTTTTGCTATCTCTCCTAAACCCTGTTTTGACGTCCATTTACAGAAACTCATTCTTCTTCTTCTTCTTCTTCTTCTTCTTCTTCTTTGTACCGTGTCCCTTAATAATATTGGCGACCATGGCTCTCCACAATTTCCTATATTTTGTATCTTTTTGCATATGCTCGTTAGGTAGATTATGAGTTGTTTTCCTCTCTTCCACTTGCCTTCAATACGTTCTGTGAGTGTCAAAATTTCCATACCTCCTTTCCTCATTATATTCCCAAGAAATTTGAGCTGTCTCTTTCTAGTGTTAAATATAGGTGTCTTTTTTGTTTCCATTTTCTCTCAAACTTTGTTGTTGCTCGCGTCTTCAGGCTATCGTATTCTTAGCATCCTTCACATTTTTTTTGCTTCAAATTTTCAAAATCCTAAACTGAAACCTCCTTATAAAATTAAAAAACCCTTCCATTGTTTGTTTTTTTTAAAAAATTTTATTCTACCAGGAACTAATTTAAGATGGATGTCCGTCATATAGTTTTATCTCTTAAATATTCGTTAGAATTACAACATTCTTTAATTATAGAGCTCGTTAAAATATCTACACAGTTCAGGAAAAGATAAACGTGTCTTTTGTAGTTTTATCAAATGACGATAACACTGTTTACTAGATATAGTACGATATTTTCTCTACACATGCCATTACTCTCATGGCTGTAGCATTAACAAGTGGTAAGGGATGTTGTGTATGGCAGAAAACAGACTACATTCCCAGATCTTAGAAAATAAATTGAAAATGCATCTGCAGCAATCCGACTGGACATTTTGGCCACCATTTTGATTGTGGCTTTACTGTAACATGATATTCCCCTGACTTAACGTCTGAAGACTCTTACCTATGTGGAACCCTAAACGATGGTGTGTATTACAGAAAACTAACTACACTGGCACCCCATAGACAAGGAATTGAAAAGGCATGTGCAGCAATTGGACACTTTGGCCAATGTTGCCCTAGTAGCAGTTCTCTGTACAAATAAATGTCTGGAAGATAAAGGTCACCATTTTGAGCATCTCTTGTGATTGTAGAATCCAAACTTAACTTGTATTAATATTGTGATGTCTGAATAAATTAAGTATTACTATATCTATACAAGTTTTTCCTTTCATGAAGTGTGTATACATTTTGGGCGGACCCCGAATATATATATATATATATATATATATATATATATATATATATATATATCAAGTATGTGGTGCAGCTTGTAAAAAACTAAAAAAAGACCTTATGCAACTGAAATTTATAAACAGTGATCATAACATTCATATACAGGTTCGGGGTTAATGTACTTTATTAAAATTGTTTGCGAAGATGTATTCTCGCCATTTAAATCATTAACTTCTATATCTGTTTTTGTATGAATGATTCATGTAATATATATATATATATATATATATATATATATATATATATATATATATATATTCATAAAATGGTTAGAATAAAAATAATAATTTATTCCAGTGTTACACACCAATGGAGGCTGTCAGAATAGCTTTATCAAAACACTTGACATTCTGATACAAATGTAAAAATCTAAAGCTAGAAAAGAAATTGAAAATGCATTTGCAGCATTCCGATTGGACATTTTGGCCACCATTTTGATTGTGATTGTAGAGTCCAAAAGTCACTTGCATTAATCTTGTGATGTCTGAATAAATTAAGTATTACAATATCTATACAAGTTTTTCCTTTCCTGAAGTGTGTATACATTTTTGGTGGTGGACTCTGTATATATTGAAAACATATTTATTTTCATAGTTATTTTTTATATACACTATTTACATTATTCGAACTATTGTCCTCATCTTTGTTGCCATATTTATCACAACGTTTCGGCCGTTGTACTCTCCAGCCTTCTTCAGGTGGTTGGAATGTCGAACTAAACCCTTTATTCCGCTCGCTGGGGTAGACTGTTCTAGTTCCACGTGCAATGTCTAATGGATGTCAGTTATCAGTTATCTCCTGTTAATTCAGCTCTTCAACTTTTCCACTGCCTTAACCAGGTATTGAACTCACAACACTTTTGGAACTGTAACAAGATCTAACCAACGTCCTTATTCACCGTGCAATGTATACTTAAACGTTGTGATAAATATGGCAACAAAGATGAGAACAATAGTCTGAATAATGTAAATAGTGTACATAATACCTCATTTCAGAAATATAGACAGATACTGAAGGGCCGAAACGTTGTAATAAATATGGCGACAAAGATGAGGACAATAGTCCGAATAATGTAAATAGTGTACATAATACCTCATCTTAGAAATATAGACAGATGCTGAAGGGCCGAAACGTTGTAATAAATATGGCGACAAAGATGAGGAGAATAGTCCGAATAATGTAAATAAAATCGGACATTATTATCAGAAAATGAAAACAAATAGTATTTTCCAGTGTATACGCAGGGTGCGTCAAGTATTTGAGAACAGAATTAAATTTTTTTTCGAAAATCGGACATTATTATCAGAAAAATAAAACTAATAGTATTTTCCAGTGTATACGCAGGGCGCGTCCTGTATTTGAGGACAGAATTAAATGGTTTATACGAAAATCCGATATTATTTTTCAATCAAGTTAACAGGATCGAAAGGGGACAGTTGAAATAATTCACGGGAGAAATTAAATAGACGTATGACAGCGAGAAAACCAAATAATCTGCAAACACTTGAAGGTGAGGCTGATGAAGTAATGGAAACTATGTATGTTGGTGTTTGCGCTAATTTGGGAAAAGAAACGATGAGAAAAGATTGTGACTTTAAATGATATGCAGATGACGATCCAATTTTACGTGCCATTAATTTTGAGCGCACAATTAATTTCTTTTCTGTGTACAATTATTCAAAATGAAAAATGAAATATTTTTCTTCGTATATTTACTGCTCAGTAATCTTTGTAATTATTTCTAATAATTAAAAAAATCAGAGCGTGATAATAATTTAAATCATCAGTATATATATATATATATATATATATATATATATATATATATATATATATTATAAATTAAGTGATTTAAAATATGGTTTTACACAGTAATAAGAACACCGGATTATATATATTGCTGTTTTTTTATTTACACACACACACGTATATATGTATATATCGAGAGAGATATACATATATATAAATATATCGATAGAAAGCGAGGAAGAGAATATATATATATATATATATATATATATATATATATATATATTATAAATTAACTGATTTAAAATATGGTTTCTTCGCTACACAGTAATAAGAATACCGGATTATATATCTTACTGTTCTTTATATATATATATATATATATATATATATATATATAGAGAGATAGAGGAAGAGAAAGAGAGAGTGGTGTGATGGAGAAATTATCGTCTAAAACTGTTGAGATGTTGTGAGTTTTCCCATGTGTCGGTGTATGAATCAAGGCAAACACAGTTGTAGAGGAAAATACTGGTATATTCCTAAAAGCAAGTAACAATAGAGTGATTAGTAGAACGAAGGTTGGTTAGTACGAAACATTATCCAAAGTCTATAGTCCAACGGTATGTACCGGGTAAGCTTATCTGGACTGCTAACGCTGACTCTCTCTCTGACGCTCTGTCACTCTCTCTCTCCAGAGCTGACTTATATAAGAGGGACCAGTCCATTACTAGTTAGAAGGTGGGTGCGCCCCAACAATAACACAAACATCTCATTTTAACTGATATATTTACGAAAATTGCACAAAAATATCTTGAAATACTAAGGAGTAAATTTATTCAATAAGATCGTCATTGGCTTCAGTCACGGCTTCCTTGAGCGGTCTCCTTTTTTTTAAGTTGGTGATTGCTGCCATAATCCCTGACTTCAGTTCATCTTTGGTGCCGCAGTGAGTTTTGTTGTGCTCTGGCTCAAATTCGACCCCTACATAATAATCAAGGGCGTTGCTGTCTAGGGAGTTGGGTGGCCAGCTGTAAGGGATGACTTAGTCGCAGAAATTGTCTGACAGCGATGATTGGGTTCTCCTGCTTGTGTGGCATCGTGCCGAGTCCTGTTGTCAGACAAGAGGGTCTTCCCTATGCGGTGCAGGTAAAGTCCGATTGTTTCATCAGCAAAGCTCCCCACAGGTTTAGCAATCGTCCTTCTTTATGGCTGTCAACATGGTTTCCTCATCCAAGATATCCTGCGCTGAGCCAGTTCCTGGCGGCCCGTTCACTCCCAGCATTACCCCCCACCCCCGAAAGGTTGACCAATTTTGGCGATTTGGATGCGGAGGCGTAAAGTCATAAAGCAGATAGCCCTGAAGGAGATGCTTCGACACCTCCATGCCTTCTCGTCGCTGCTCGAGCCATGACTGATGTGTGTGTGTGTGTGTGTGTGTGTGTGCAACGCACCTGCATCAATCAAAAGCATTGACCACAGACCTACCTGACCGCCTTCCCGGTACGTGACACACTCATTTGCGTATCTGGGATCAGTACTTCCCACAAGGCGCGATGTTTTGTTTACCCTATTTAAGCAGAACCAATGCTTGCCCGTAGAGACTAAATATAATGACATCAGATTTTGATATCGAATAATCCAAGGGGAGTTGATATGTAGCAGAATTCATCAACTGAAGGCAATCTATCTATCTATCTATCTATCTATCTATCTATCTATCTATCTATCTATCTATCTCTGTTCATATCTATCTATCTATCTATCTATCTATCTATCTATCTATCAACCTTAGTCTTTGTTCATACTTATCTATCTCTCTAAGTTTTTGCTCATCTCTCTCCCTTTCTCTCTGTCTCACTCTCTCTAAATATATATATGTGTATGTATATATATATATATATATATATATATATATTACAGTCTGTTCATATCTATCTATCTATCTATCTATCTATCTCAGTCTGTTTATATCTATCTATCTATCTATCTATCTGCAAGTTTCATTAAAAACCGCTGACAAGGTTCCGTGGTTAATTTCCTTGGTGAACGCCGGGTCATGTAATATAATAATTGTGTATTTGGGCAGCAATCCATCTTTCATATAAGTTTTTCTGATATTAAGCACATTTACCAATGAATATAGCATACCTTATATATATATATATATATATATATATATATATATATAATGATAATATTAGTAATCAGTATCGATATTTACAAAAGTATATAGATCCAGGGAGAGCTCTATATCAGAGACAGAGCAATAATAAAGAAAAGGAACATTTAAAAGTTCATGAGATGATATTTATTTCGTTAAGTTCTGAAAATTTGACCTCAACTCTTCAGACCTCGTAATATTACAAGATCCGAAGAGTTAATTTTCCGACCTTAACGAAAGAAATATCACCTCATGGCCTTTCACGTGTTCGTTTTATTTAGAATAATGATGTATATGTGTGTGTGTGTGTTTGCGTTTGTGTTTGTGTGTTATCAGAGGACGAAATGCGTCGGCTAAGAGAAGTTTTCTTGTTGTCTTTATTCATATATATGTCACATATATATATATTTATATATACTCACACAAAAACAGTATGTTCATATCTATCTACCTATCTATCTATCTCAGTCTGTTCATATCTATCTATCTATCTATCTATCTATCTGTTTCAGTCTGTTCATTATCTATCTATCTATCTATCTATCTATCTATCTATCTATCTATCTATCTATCTATGTAAGTTTTTGTTCAACTTTCACTCTGTGTATATATATATATATATATATATATATATCCCAGTCGGTTTCGGTTTATTTGTCAGCCTTAATCTATCTATCTATCTATCTATCTATCTATCTATCTATCTATCTAGGTCACTGTTCATTATCTATCTATCTATCTATCTGAGTTTTTGTTCATATCTATCTATCTATCTATCTATCTATCTATCTATCTATCTATCTCCACCTGGGTATGACGAAAAATTACATCCTGCAGGGAGGTCTCTGATCGTTGGGGTTGTGAGTAGCGTGGAGCCACTTCTTGATTGTTTTGTATCCAGCTCCAATCTGGCGCGCGGTGGTAGCACCTGTTAGAGTTCCGGCTATGGGCAAACAGTGAACCCTCAGACTTGTGTCAATAAACTGAAAGTATAGGTGAATAATAATAATGATAATAATAATAATAATAAATTGTCGGCAACTGATTTTTATAAACGAAAAAAATAAAACAATTACTAGTTAATAAATTTAATCTCGGCATTAAATGACCCAGAATTAGTTGTTAACACGCTAAGCTAAGAAATATCTATCTATCTATCTATCTATCTATCTATCTATCTATCTATCTATCTGTTTCTCTGTCTCTGTATTAATCTCTGTCCCTGTCTATCCATCGTTGCTTTCTGTCTCTCAATTCATATCTATCTATCTATCTATCTATCTATCTATCTATCTATCTATCTATCTATCTATCTATCTGTGTATGTAGATTTATGTCCGTGTACATAAAACAGGAGCACGTAACAGGAACATGTTAATCGATATGGCTTTTGGTTTGTTTGTCTTTAAATCATCTCCCAGTTTCCATTTTCCTTGGTCGAAATATATTGCCAATCCATTTGACCCGATTTCTTTCTCATCACGTACATCTCCCGAGCGAAAGTATTAATGCTGTAGACAAATGCAGGAACACATATCAACTTTATTTACTTCAACGTTTCTTTTCTGTCTGTCTCGTTCCTTGTCATTTCAGATCAAAATGCATATGTTTATGTGTGGCAATCTCTTTCCTGTCTGGTTGCTTTTAGAGTTTTACAGAATCAGTGATTTTTTCCTTCAAGGGGAGGGGGGTGAAAAAAAAGAGGTCGTTATTTTTTTTTTTCTATTTAAGTCTATGCGACACTTTACTTTTTTCATCCATTTTGAATTAGTCCGGTATCTTTAGATTAGACTTGGTGCAAAACGAAATGTTGCCACAGAATTTCATTTTTTTGTGGTCCTGATATATATATATATATATATATATATATATATATATATATATATATATATATAATGATCAAAAGATAGTTTTACAAATGATCTACTACTTCAATGCTTCCAAAATGGGATGGCATTGTAACATACGCTGATTTTAGATAGAAAGATAGATAGATAGATAGATAGATAGATAGATAATGAACAGCCTGAAGTAGATAGATAGATAGATAGATAGATACATGAATATATTTGAAAAGAGGGTGAGATTGCTATGAAGAAAGACTGAGTTATGATCAGAAATAGATAGATAGATAGATAGATAGATAATGAACAGCCTGAAGTAGATACATAGATAGATAGATAGTGCAAAACGAAATGTTGCCACAGGATTTCATTTTTTGTGGTCTTGGATATATATATATATATATATATATATATATATATATATATATATATATGATGATCAAAAAAGTAGTTTTACAAATGATCTACTACTTCAAGGCTTCCAAAATGGGATGGCATTGTAACATAAGCTGATTTTAGATAGATAGATAGATAGATAGATAGATAATGAACAGCCTGAAGTAGATAGATAGATAGATAGATAGATAGATAGATAGATAGTGCAAAACGAAATGTTGCCACAGAATTCCATTTTTTGTGGACCTGATATATGTATATATATATATATATATATATATATATATATGATGATCAAAAGGTAGTTTTACAAATGATCTACTTCTTCAAGGCTTCCAAAATGGGATAGCATTTTAACTATTGTGAGACCGTAACATACCTACAACATGGACTCTTCCAGGACTATATAAAGTATGCGACATAACACTCTAGGGAGCAGAAGAAGAAGAGGAGAGAGAGAGAGAGAGAGAGAGAGAGAGAGAGAGAGAGAGAGAGAGTATTCTAATACCGTAGTATCAGCCGCGTACGACTACCAATATCGGACACTAGCACATAGTAAGCTCCGCTTACACTTACACTATCTTTGTAACCTTTTTGTTTAATATATCTTTCTTACCTCTAATCTGTGTTTCGTGTTTTTCTTCCGTGGTCCCAACTTTGGGCCCACATCAGTGGCGACGAAGAATTCGAGAAACATATTCACGTCGAAAACCTCAATACCTTACCAGTCCCACATCAGTGGCGACAGAAAGATTCGAGAATTTCGTTCTCACCATATCAATAGCGACAGAGTACTCGAAAAATACACAGAAACTCCACGCGTTCCCACAGTAGTGTTGAACGAGAAATTAAGCTGGTATTACTACATTAGCGATTTAAACGCAACGCCCAGCATCTACATATATATAATAAAAAAATATTCCGATATCAAACAGCAGTGACGAACTAGCGATTCGACATCTACGGAATATTAAAGTCTGTCCAAATAACATTACGAGAACGATTTCTTACATACCCACACACAGAAAAAAAACAGGTTGTTCATAAAACAAACTGACAACACAAGACCCGAAGTACTATTTACGACTCAAGTTTTCGAAAAAAAATACCTAAAATTTTTTTTTTATGTAACTGAGTTGAACTCGTGCATAAAATTATTCTCCCCTCAAATTCACTGAGGCGAGTTTTCTCTTTTTTGTACCTCTATAAAAAAAAAAGAAAAAAGCATAATAAGTGTGGTGAAAATTTATACAATGACGTTAAAATTAACGGAACCACAGAATCGCAAAAAAAGCTAAACACATAATTAGTTTAGTTTAACTAATTGTCTATCCATATTTTTTTTGGGTTAAAAAAACACAAAAAAGAAAAAACCTATCAAGATGTTTTTTGTGTCCCTCCCCCTGGTACACGGGTTTCAAAGCAACAAAAAATCGCTGTCATTTTTGTTTGTCTAAATATGGAAGATTTTCAAAAAGTAATTGCCCAAATGCTAAAAGTAAATTTGGATCAGCAACAAAAGTCAGAAGAAAGACAAAAACAACTATTTTTGGAATTACATAAACAACAAATGGAATTCCAACAAATTACGCTTCAGAATGCTGAACTACAACAGAAACAACTTAAAGAATTACTCGTAAATGGATTAAAAGGCTCAAACTCTGAAAAAGATACAATATTCTCCCAGAGTACAATCTACAATTCAATGGAAACATTTGAATACGTACCAGAGAACAACAAAACGTTCGAGGCTTTTTACAGGCGCTACGAAGATATTTTCAATGTAGACTCTGCCCAGTAAAAAAATGGTACGTCTACTATTGAGAAAACTGGGAACTACAGAACATAGTAGATTCGTAGACTTCATACTACCCAAGAAAACCACTGACTTGGATTTTTCAGAGACTATTAAGCTCCTACGGAACTATTCGGGCCTAACACAACCTTGTTCCACAAACGTTGGAAATGCCTGAACACAGTCAAAGACAACCAACAAGATTTTCTAATGTTTGCAGCATCGGTAAACAGGCTATGTAATGATTTTAAACTAGCCGAACTGACTGCCGATGATTTCAAGTTCTTGATTTTCGCACAAGGTCTAGTATCAGCAGAAGACGCCGAAGTCAGACGATAGGTACTGACCAAGCTTGAGAGCGAACAAGGATTGACTCTCCAAAAACTGGCAGAGGACTGTCAAAGAGTAATATCTGTAAAGTGTGACTCAAACACTATCGAGGAATCAGGTGTGGCTCAGATTAATAAAATCAGAAGCATGTCTACCTCCTATTCCCCTCAAAAAAACAAAAGGCAAATCCCATGTCCTAAATTCCGCAGTAACCAAAACCCAAATAAGTTAAAGAAACCGCCCGGACCATGTTACCATTGTGGTAAATGGCATTGGATGAAATTCTGTCCAGTTAAGAACAAAAAATATTGCAAAAATTGCAATAAAAGTGGGCATACTTTAACTTCGTGCTGGTACGCCAACAGAACGAGAAAACCCAAAAATAAAATTAGGCAAGCTGAATCTGACGATATTGTCGATAGGAATTTAAGAAAATATGTAACTGTGGATATTTTCAATAAGTCCATTAAATTCCAGCTTGACTCGGGTTCTGATATTTCAACCATTAACTGACGTACTTGGCCAAAATTAAACAAGCCGACCTTATTAAAAACGGAGAAAACAGCCAAATCCGTAACTGGCGAAAAGATTAACATTTTAGGCGAGGTAATACTTACAGTAACACTAAATGGAGTTACCAAAAAGCTCAAAGCCTACGTATTAAAAACTTCAGACAACTTATTTGGAACTGATTGGATAGAAAAATTCAATCTTTGGGATTGCCCAATGAGTACATTTTGTCGTAAGATACAAAGTACAACGTCGAATTTGGTAAATCTCAAAAGGAACTCAAACAATAATTTCCCCAGGTTTTTATGGCGGCCTTGGGAAATGTACCAAATGAAAGCTAAGTTCAAGGTGAAGGACGGTGCACAACCGGTATTCAAAAGAAACGGAATGTCCCTTTCGCTGCTCTAGAGCAAATCAACAAAGAGTTAGATAGACTCGAACAAGCAGGTATTCTGTCAAAAACAGATTTCAGCGAGTGGGCAGCACCTACGGTCTACGTAAAAAAAGAAGTCCAATCAAATACGAGTATGCGCAGATTTTTCCACAGGGTTAAACGATGCCTTGCAAGATCACCACTATCCTCTCCCAAGCACTGAAGAAATTTTCAATAAACTCAATGGTGGAAAAATTTTTTCTAAAATTGACCTCTCGGACGCATACCTTCAGATAGAGGTGGAAGAAGAAAGTTCCAAATTGCTCTGCATAAACACCCATAAAGGGTTGTACAAATACAATAGACTGACTTTTGAAGTAAAGGTTGCGCCTGCAATTTTCCAGCAGGTCATGGACGCCATGCTGGGCGACCTTGACTACGCAACAGCCTATTTGGATGATATACTGGTTACTAGTAAAACTACGGCAGAGCACCGGAACAATATAATAAACGTATTTGAAAAATATACGGTTTTAAGGTTAAGGAGGCAAAGTGTGACTTTTTCTTACCAGAGATTAAATACTTAGGTCACATTATAAATAAAGATGGCCGTCGGCCGGATCCAGAAAGAGCCAACGCGATCAGAAACATGCCGGCTCCAGATAACGTTCAAGCGTTACAAAGGTTCCTCGGCGTAGCTAACTTTTACCAAGGGTTCATTAAGAACATGCAAAATTTGAAAGGGTCTCTCAACCAACTTTTTAAAAAGGACAAACCATGGTCATGGACCCCGAAATGGGATGGCATTGTAACTATTGTGAGAGGGTTAGTACCGAAATGTGATTTTCTTGGGAGGTTTGAAGTAATAAAATATGACATATTATTCTGCTTTAACAATTGAATACATGGTAGATGATACTCAGCTTTTGTGCATACACATGTTTGCGTGGTGATATGCTGTACTTTGGCTGAAGATTTTGGAATACAGTTTGATTTCTTTAAGATATTGTAGGGGATTATATGAATTAATGTTAGGAAAGAATAATTTCATGTTGCTTGATCTTATTAGACGTTTGTTTTG